TGGTGGAGAGGAGACAGAGTGATGAAGCCAATCAGCAGATATGGGGATGGTTAGGAGGCCATGATGGTCAGAGGCCAATGGGCGAATTTGGCCAGGATGCCGGGGTTACACCCCTACTCTTTTTCAAAAGACATCCTGGGATTTTTAATGACCACAGAGAGTCAGGACCTCGGTTTAACGTCTCATCTGAAGGATGGTGCTTTTTGTCAGTATAGTGTCCCTGTCACTACACTGGGGCGTTAGGACCCACACAGAACACAGGGTGAGCACCCCCTGCTGGCCTCACTAACACCTCTTCCAGCAGCAACCTAGTTTTCCCAGGAGGTCTCCCATCCAGGTACTGACCAGGCTCAACCCTGCTTAGCTACAGTGGGCAACCAGTCTTGGGCTGCAGGGTGATATCTATATGGCTGCTGTGTACCACCAACACGGCACGCTTTTGATGTCTCGCTTATGGGACACACATATTTGAGGTCTTGGAGTCTTTACAAATTAACTGATGAGTTGAACCAGGTGTGTTTGATTAGGGAGACATCCACAATGTGCAGTGTTGGAGGTTCAACAAGATCAGGATTGGGAACCACTGTTCTGTAGTATAGCCTACTCACTGGGCATCCATACCTGTTTGATTCCGGTCCCCATGAATTTTAGCAGCAGTTCTGCAGAAATATACACTAGGGTCAGCAAATTAATGGGGGCTTGGGACATAATGCCAACAAAAGTGACAAAAATGACCCTGAAATGCCAAATGTTGTTCAAAAAAATATGTATTTATTTATTTATTTTGCAGTAATAGTTTATTTTATCTAATATTATATCCTAATAATCCTAAGGCCTAAGTCAGTTATACAACTGGTGATGCTAATTTCATATTAGGTAACAGAATTACTCATTTGAGAATTTACTTGCTTTAAATGTAAGTATGTCAAAGATAAAAGAAAAATGCACCTTAATAAAAAATAAATAAACTATTTTTTTCTCTTCTACCTGATCGGACCCCTTGAAATTACTTGTTGTTGAATAACAATAACACTTTTGACTTGAATAAAACCAGTTATTTGGTTGTTAAACACATTTTAGATTTGAAAACATTTGATTAATTTTATAATGTTTACAATATAATTTATATTTTTTAAATGATTTTTATTGATAATTTGAACATTTAGTTTTTACTTGATCTTAAGTGACACAAACGAAACTTCTGAGCGTTATTATGCTTATTTTAAACACCCACAGATGTTATTAGAAACAATTTATGTTCGCAGACACATTATGTAATATACATCTCACTGTAAAATATTTCAGTGTAAATAAGCTCGTGATTAGTCACTCTTCCCCATATAACATGGCCATAAAAGCCTTTGATAACACTGCGCATAGTAGACTATTATCCAACACTCACCGTATTTTCCATTAGCGCGGCTTATATTAGTATCCAACAGACGAGGCGTTATAATGAAGAGAATGAAATTGCTCCTTCACTTCCACATCTCTGCCCTTCAAAGAACCGACCCATGAACATATAGGATGACGACATCTTTAAACAAGATCAATACACCTCTCAAAGAGAGACTTAAAGACGGATCTGCCCCAGAATAACGGCAGAGGTTTCGCGAGAAGGACGAGATTTCAATCCTTCGTTATCTTGGCCAACGTACAATCGCTGTATCCCACAATGTCACGCTCGATTAAAAGCGATCCGACGTTTAGCTGGCACAAGCGTGCTCGTGAGTCCTGCGTCTGCTGAACGGCATCATCCTCATCCTCGCGATGACAGACAGACAGCAGGAAGCGGCTCCTTCAGCACCAGCGCGATGATGCAACTGATGGAGGAAACAGAACTCTCCACTGCACATCCCGTCTCACAGGCGCATCTCCAGCGGGTGTTTGCAGTCGTACACTGAGCTAAGGCGCATAATGTATTAGGCTACAAATCTCTAAATAAACGGAGCTGAAAAAGTACAGCTGAATTATAGCTACGTTTAGTTCCAGTCCTCGAATTTGATTGGCTGAGCGGCGTTCCAAGAATATTTAATTAGCATATTGACTGTTATCTGTTTGTATAACTGGAACCAAGAGTATGCATATTGAATTATTAGATTTTTGGCGGATTATTTGATTTTTAGTTTGTTGGCTAGGCTAGTATATGCATTTTAGAGCCAATAAATAAACAAATAAAACAAGTATAACTACATTAAAGTTGTTTAATGTTATATAAATCATAAAGGATTTCATTTAAATAATAAAAGATTAACAAATTATATTTTATTCTATATTATAAAGTATATTATCTTCCCAACTTCTCAAAATAATAATCTCAAATAAAGTGTTAATAACGTTTTATTTCACGATTAACAATATAAAGGTCATTTACAAATAAGTTTTATATTAATTACAAAACAATAATTCATCCAAACAAAAATAAAATGATGCTATATACATTTTAGATACAATTGTTTAAAACTTAAATGATTAGGCTAACTAAAACAGCAAGGGTTAAAAAAAAAAAAAAGGAAAAGCAAAAGGAAAAGACTGTTTTCTTTTTGTTGTGCTCTCCTGGGGGAATGGGCATATACGTATATCTATCTTTTTCCAGCCGTGATTTTTTTTTCTTTTTAATTATGGCTTTGGAAAACACTGCAACACTATGCTCAAAAAAATCAGATCCACAATACAACAGTAGTTTATCTTTCAAACACAGTACAGAATTGCACTCTCAAGTGAAGGACAACCGCATTGCTGAAATCTTTAAAAAGTTGTAAGTCACACTGGTTTTCTCTCAAAAACTAAAATGTACACATTTTTCTTTTTTAAATACATTTAAATACAGATACCAGTTACTTCATTAAGGAAGCACATATTCAAGCACATAGACTCAATATGAAGCTGCCAACAGTAAAAAAAATCTAATTTTTTTTTTTTTTAACTATTTCAGTGCACGTTTATTTTCCTATATTTCACTTGCGTTCAACTTTTTACTTCCTTAATTATTAATCACTCTTACAAACAGTACAAATAAGGAAGGAGTACGCCAGATTAAAACTTAATTAATCATTATAAATAAACTTTGGTGCTTTGAAAAACTAGTTTTGTGGCACAAGTCGGTGATGCTACATGCGGTTCCAGTGCGTCAACTTTCCCACCGGACAGACAGGCCACTCTTGCCTATAACTCAATAATAATCAGAATTCAGTCTACAATCTCAATGGCACTAAGTATATAAAAATAAGGCTAAACAAATAAATGCCTTTACTTTAGTGCAAACTGACTAAGACCGTTCTTTGTTAACCACCAACAAAATCACAACATCATTTTGCATAAGACAGTGTTCCACCATTCATTTTGCTCTCTTTGCACTTTTTTTTTTTTTTTGCAGTTTGTCTCCAACCATAACAATCAATGATATTAAGTACAAATAGATTACAAATATACAAAATAAAACAAAAATAAACAAAATTACAAAGCTTTATTTAAAAAAAAAAGATTTCAGCTCATTTAAAGCAATATAAATGCTGCTTTAATCATCGCCACTCTATAGACTAAGTATTAGCATAAGCTAACATGAGGTCTCTGTTGTGTGTGTGCAGTGCCACCTACAGGCATGATTTGTGCAATGACAGTCCTGTCAGATCTCAAACCTCACATGCATTGTTCCGATTCATTGTAAGAAAGAGCAGGAGTGTTTTCCTGATAGCCGCTGTGAAGACTCCAGCATCGACATTCAGATTCTCCACTTAAAGGGCAACAGATCAATCGAGAATAGTGGTATTCATCCACAATGTAAAACTACAGTCATGTTTAGCGAATTAAATCCGACCCCATCCAGTAGTGAACACTGGGCACATCCTGTCCACGGTGATTTCATTCATTATCACTAGTCAGTACAGAGAATTTCAGCTAAAAACAATCTCTAATGGAATTCCATCAGATTTAAAGAGACAGTTCACCCAAAATTGAAATATCTGTCATATAGCTTCAGAAGTTACAGTACTTTTATGTTGTTTTTGGAACATGACAGTCCCGGGCACCATTCGCTTACATTGTACGGAAAAGAGCAGCGAGAACATTGAACAAAACGTCTCCTGTTGTGTTCCACAGAGGAAATAACTTTTTAATTTGAGCGAACTGCCCATTTAAAAACTATATAGAATTAGGGTGATACTGCTACAAGCTCATGAGGTACCCAAACTTTATATATATATTTTTTTTCCCCCATTTTTTTAAATCCCACATATGCAGTTCCTATTTGAGCAGAATATTTGCTTACATTTAATAGATAATGTATACATTACATGGGGTAGCATATGATTTGATAAAAGGTAAACAGATCCAGTTCATTAGAACTTATAACGTTTTGAGTCATTGTATAAATCATGCAGGAGTATTTGAGCATAAGGTTGCATGTGTAAATATATGTCATCCATGTCAGACAACTGTAAACCTGTGACAACAGCCATCCTAATCTTAGCACAGCTTGAGGTCTTTAAAATGACTAAACTTTGATCTAGTCGGCGATCAGGTGTTACAGGAATGAAGTCAGCAGGTTGAAAGGAACTTTTTCCCCCAAAGTCTGGGAATGGTGGCGATGAGAGCGGATTTGGTTGGAGCTGAAGCTGGAGTGGGAAGAGTCCTCTTCCTACATTTCTTTCTCCTTGTCTTTCCTCGCCTCCTTCTCACGGCTGGACTTCATGAAGTCACTTCTCATCAGGCGGTAAAACAACACAATGTTCATGACGGTCATGATGGCCAGACCCACGCTGCCGATGGTGTAGCTGATCAGGGGGACGAGGTCACGATTGAGCACCAGCCAGCGGGTCATCCAGGCCAGAGTGTTGATGCGAAACACTACATAGGTGCCCAGGTTTATCATGCTGTTGACACGGTAAAATGTACTTTTGGCCAAGCTGGCCATGCAGAGCACTTGCCTCAGGTGCAGAAAGATTGAATTGATCTCCACCAACAGAGCCACCACGGCAAAACCCACATACCGACAGGTCAACACAGAGATCCCGAAACAGGTGATCACCTGCAAACAAAAGAAATTGAGAGGTTTCAATAATAGCAATGCACTAAAATATTGGCCGAGGAAAACTTTAAAGGAATAATTCACCCAAAAATAAACATTTTTCATTTATTATGGATAGAGGACTCGTATTTTAGCAATGTTTTAAAATTAAAAACATCCTGATGGATTTATTACAAACACACAGCTTTTCACTACATAAGACGTTAATTGATGGACTGAAGTTGTGTGGATTACTTGTGAATTATTGTGATGTTTTTATCAGCTGTTTAGACTCTCATTCTGACGGCACCCATTCACTGCAGAGGATCCATTGGTGAGCAAGTGATGTAATGCTACATTTCTCCAAATCTGTTCTGATGAAAACAAAGTCTTCTTCATTTTGGAGGGCCTGAGGGTGAGTACATTTTCAGCAAATTTAATTTTTTGGGTGAACTATTCCTTTAAGATAACTGTCATTTTCAGCTCAGCTACAAGGTAGAAAAATGTGAACAGAAACAATTACTTTAACATTCAATTACAGAAGAGTGTGAAATGATCCAGGTGTAATTGGCTCTAATGATGGATGATACATTGACAGAAAAGAGGTTGTGTTCGCCTGTGAGAATATTCAGCGCAACATCAAGCAAAACATGAAGGCAGAGAAACTTCTGTTATTCAAGAACTTGCCACACTATTACCTGAAGCAAAAGAAAATAAGCTTTTTATTTGTATATTCTTAAGCACTTTTTGTAGTGTATACGTTTGCTAATATTAGCCAAAAGCCAGTTTGGGCCAGATTTATTTTGAGATCAGGGTTTAGTATTCTAGTTTCTCCACACCTCAGTGTCTCAGTTTGGAGTTTGTTTAAAGTCAATTGCATTGAACAACACATGCATACTTGTGCTGTGATTATAATCTATACACATTTGTACAATATTTTTAAACATATTATATTATATTTTTATTATAATGATTTTATATTCTTTAAATTAATGTATTAGTTGTTCATAATAACTTCAAAAAATACAATTGTTGATATTTCCCTTGTTTCCAGAATTTTTGGTTGAATTTCCACAGCTGCCCATTAATTTCAGGTTCAGTACATTTATTACATTATGTGTCCAATTTATTACAAATATTACCTTTAGAAACAGTATTTCATTGTAATATGATTTTTTAAAGCATTTTTAAAGATGCTGTTTGACATGTTCATTCATCTATAGAAAGTCATTAAGTTTAAATAGGCCAGTTAAGCCATACACAGACTAATGTGCTTAATTTCAGCAGCAACTCTTTCGTCTTCTCAACACTAATCTGCTGTGAGGCGACGAGAAACAAATGAGTGTGTGTTTTGTATCATCTGATAACAGCAGGGAGAGGCTGAGGACAGGAATACAAAGGCTCTGTTGATCAGTCCTAAATGCAACAGGACAACAGTCAAAGCCATCACCACAAATGACACTAATCCTGCAGGAGTTCTACAGTTCAAACAAATCCTAGTAATGGCATTGGTCAATATTAGCACAATCGTGATTGTGACCTTGATTCTAGATGTATTTTATGCATTAATCAATAAGCATTTATAATAATTCTTAAATAAAGAATACTAAGTCCTGAATCAAACCAACAAGCTCTGGAAATAACCATAGAAAAAAACAACAACAACATTGATTTAAAGCACAGAAGTAGGTTATGTGAAAATTGTGACTGACTGTGTATGTGACATCTCTTAAAAAAGTGGAACAATATTAAAATATGAACTTATATTTATTGATAAAGTAATCTTTTATGAAAAGTTTAAAATATTTTTAATCCTTTTTCATCCAAAAGGAAATTTGTAAACATTTTTTATGATCCTCCACTAGGTGGCAGTCTATGCCTAACGTTACAAAAACATCGCAAAAAGTGCATAGATTTAACTAGTAAAAAGCTCATGCTTACATTACTCAATGCAAAACTAATATTGGAGCATTTAGATCCATTATAAGACATTTTTCTCTTGGTGTCTAATTCCCACGAGTCACTAACCAAAAGGTAGTCAAATATAAAAACAAATCAAAAGTATTTACTGAGACCTTAACCATGTAATATTTACATTAAGAACTAACAATTATAATTTTAAACTTTATACAACTACATCTAATTTACATAATTTTATTGACGTTTATGAATCATACACATTGGCAAATCCTCTATTGTAACTGTCAGGTATGAGAAGTCTTACGCAGAGCACAAAGGTGCAGTTACATGACGTCCAATACTAAGTTACATGAGCGTGCGCCATTGCCGTGATATAACTCCTTTTGTAACAGGACATAAATTCATTGGTTGCCCGGATGAGTCTGTAATGCAACCCTGTTCACATGACACCCGGCTGGTCTTTGCGGTGAGGAATGTCACAGCAATAAGGCCAGTACTGTTATTCACATTAACACTACTGACACTAAAAGCCCCTGGTGTGTGTTTGAAGAAGGCAAGTAATGTATAATGGCTTTTAATAGCTTGAAATCCAAACATACTTCTCTTTATAGCAAGAATGTGTCACGTATGCTCCATTCATAAAGCAAAGCATGACAAAAGCTGACCATCCATCCAGCTATGTGGACTGTAAACACTTCTGAGTTTGTTTTACAGTGTCTAAAAGAGGTCTACAGTCGGGCTACAGCAAACAGTGACGGCTGAAAAATATTTTGACTTTATATAAAGCAATCAAATGTCCAAAAAGAATACTAGTTTGATGGTTTAACAGGACTATTAGCTCTGTAAACATGATTTCTGTCTGTAAATTCTTCTCTCACTGCAGTGAAGGGCCTGTTTTAATATGAAGACGCATGATTACTAAATAAGATGTGTGTGTCCTCAGTCTCATGACTGAGAGGATGTTGACCTTTGGCTAACCCGCTGTCTTTCTCTTGGTGAGGTCAAGATCTCTACTTACACAATGCTTAAGCTGGATAAGGCTCTGAACATCACAAACAAACCTGTTATCTTCAGGAGACCCTATCCCTCCTTAAGATCATGGAAGTGATAAAAGCCTGATGAGACTAAGTGAATGAACATATTTCATATTACTAATCAAAGTGAAATGCAAAAAAGTACTGCCTTCTACACCAAATGAGGTCAAAAGGTGTTTCGCAAGTCAAAGACACCGAAAACAAACTCAATATTGTACAATTTGTAATATTTGAATGGCGACTATAATAAAGACATAAAACACTCTTTAACTTCCATCTCGGCCTTGAAAAGAACATAATCATTGACAGGAAAAGAGCAAAGTCTTCATGTCACATACATCACATAACATGTTGCTTTATGTTAACAGGTATGTCCCTGTAGCTCCTTGCGCCCGCAACGGCAAGGTCATGGTTTTGATTCTCAGGGGAAACACATACTGATTAAATGCATAGTTTTATTGTAAACGTATACTTCTATCCTGTAAAGATGTTTTAAATTGATAAAAAGTGACAGTATAGACCATTATAATGCTACAAAAGATTGTGATTTTAAATAAATGCCATCTTCTTAAATTTCTATTCAAAGCAGCCTTCCAGAGCATAAGCGATATTAGTGATTATAATGACTTGAAATCTTTACAAGCTGCTTGCATGAAATGCTTTGATGAGAAAATTAACCAATTCCAGTGAACACAAAATACTAAAAGCTAGTGCTGGGGGATATATCGGTTTGAATTACGCACACGGTATGAATTTTTTTTTAAAAACGGCATACTGGTACAAGTGGCAATGTAGACAGTGTCACGAATTGAGAGGAGATCCCTGTTAACTGTACACACTTCTGAATAATGGTTAGAAAACTATTAATAACACACAACTAGGCTAATTCTTTAACTGGGCAAATAAACCAACTGTAAATGGCCGTTAACAGAAGCCAGAGATGCTGAAAAGAGGAGAAAATACGGTATTATACGGAGTAAGATCACAGTTCACGATGTGTGAAATATTGGAAGAAAATCCTTAATACTGAAGTGAGGGTGAGGGGTTTATATAAATGCATCTCTGAGGGGAACTGACTGTCTTCAGAAAAGTTTAGATGGTATTTTCTTTTCGTCTTACCTCCATATAATGCCTATTACTGTAGTATTTAAAGGGGTCATATGATGTT